TTTAAAAAGTACATGTTATAACACTGAACACACTTTTAATGTAATAGTACCTCACAAAAACATAATAAAAGTTGATCAAAGTTTTCAAAATTATGATCTGTGCACATAAATAAGTGCTAAAAGAAAATACACTAAAATATTAACAGAAGTTATGTTTGAGGGGATCATTATCTATTTTTTTGTATCTTTCTGATTTTGAAAAATATCAAATAAAAATAAATACCTCTTTGTACTTAATATAGTACCATTCTCAATACTAGGTATCCCAATGACAAATTCATCAAATTAATTGCTCTTAGGGATTTGGAAAGCTGAATACTTTCATACCTCTAAAGAAATGATAAATAATTGTTAGTTAAGGATACTTGTCTCTCTGTGTATATATATCTTTCTGTGTATACACACATAGATACATATATTCATCTCTATATATTCAAAGCATTTTCCAATTTATGGAAGAAATAGAATATGTCTTAGCATTAAATTAAAAGGTACCAAAAACTTACTTGCTCCATCAAAATTGAGAAATATTTAGTTTTAATTTAGCTTTAGCTTTTCTACCTGAAATTGTGCAAAGAAAAAAAATAGCCCAATGCTGTAACTATGATAAATGTGTGAACAGAAAAATATATAATATTTTGCTTTTCTGACTGAGTGACTTATAAACTTAGTGAACCCTTAATGTCCTGGCTAATACATAACATATTTCAAAAGTACAGATTTCTTCCAACTCCTGTGTCTATGGGGGTGCACACCTGTCGCCCTGCTTAGTCGTAGGCAGCTTATGTAATGAGCGGACCATGTAAATGCAACCAGAGGGGGAGAAATAATTCCAAATTGAAAAACACTTTTTAAAATGCTTTGAAAAGTTTCAAAAAATGGAAGTATTTTGACTACATTTTTCATGCAGGACTTGAATGTTCACTACCCATCAACTCATCACCTCCCTCCTTTGGTCTATACTAATGTAAACTTCCTCACTAATGCAGTAACTTGTTTCCAGTGTGCTTGTAGATTTTAGTCTGTCTTAACACTCAAACTTAAAACTAATCATCATTTATTTATTGGCCTTTCCAATCCCTATGATGATTGTAGCATCACAATGAATAAATTTTCTTAGTCTCTAATTAAGAATATTTACCCAAATTATACAAATCTTCTGTCTCTTTCCCTTTCATCTGGTAACTAGAAACATAGGCCCACCCTACATTCAGGTCATTTTACTGACAAAAATGAAAGCCCATTACAACTCTTAGGCCTACAGCTATTTATTTATTTATTTATTTATTTATTTATTTATTTATTTATTTATAGGTTCTAGAGTAATGGAATTATATTGTAAGGTTGCTAACATCTCTGTGGAAAACCATGTTTAGTTCATCATGCTTTTTGGTCAACTCTTAAAAATGATCATAAAACAACCTACTAGTATACATTCCTTGTTCAATCTTTGGACTCATCAGTATGCCAACTGTCATGTAATTAAAGTACAGACAGGGTGGAGGGGAATGAAGTGGGGAAATAGAACAACTGTAATGGCATAATCAATAAAATATATTAAAAATGAGAAAAAATAAAGAAATAAAAAATAAAAAAGTACAGACAATAAAGGGAGGATAATGTTTACTGCCTTGGGTATCTCTGGGTACTGGCAATGATTTGAAATAATTTTGCATATGTATATATATGTGACCTGTCCAGAAGGTATCCATCCATGTAATACAAAAAATAGAGACATTTTACTGAAGAAGATACAAGAGACATTGTACATAGGACAATGATGCCCCAGTCCCCTTCAAAGTAGGCACCTTGGGACAGTTCTCCCAATGGCCATCAGCTGCCCAGTCATATTTTCCTGAATCTCATTGATGGTCTGAAATCTCTTCCTTTTCAAAGGTGATTTTAGTATTGGGAAAAGTCAGAAGTCGCTGGGTGCCAAATCTGGGCTGTAGGGGGGATGAGTCACCTGGGTGATTTGATGTTTTGCTCTAAAACTTTGCATGAGACGTGATGAATGAACGAGCATCATGTGATGCATGTCGTGATGACGCTGCCCATCACCAGTTGGCCATAGCTGCGGCCTTCTGAATCACCCAAATACTATTCATGGAGGAATGTTCAAGCTTAATGCAAAATTTGAGGCAGATTCATTGCCCTATTTACTTAGTCATTTTGAATGCAATGGCCACACAGTACACATGCTCACTTAATGGAGTCTACCACCCCCATTGTGAAATTGTCATTATTCACACATGCACATTCCAGTCTACTCTCCTTGACCTGCCAGGTTACATTAAAATTGTAGAAACATTTCCTGCTAGATTAACAAAAAGGCTGTTTTTTTTTTTTTCTGGACAGACCTCATATATGTCATTCTATTTCATCTTTTACATGTTGAGAGGCCCTAGGAGGCCCAAGGAGGGAGCCTTTATATCTTGACCTCCTTTGTAAGTATATCAGTGAAAAATGCTGCAGTATTTCCTGATCTACACAATCACATGACTCAAGTGATAGCTTCTGCCAGCCAATGAGACTTTGCCTGTCTGATCAACCATGGGATTGAAGGTCTAAGTTATCAATTTCAACTCAGGTTTAAACACAAATGCTCAAGTTTTGAAAATTTTATATGTAACATTTTAATAATTTTAAATACCACATTTTAAATTAAAATCAGTGTTTGCATTGTTTTATACACTTACAAATCTAAAACTTAAGAGTGATATGGACAGACTACTTTGCCTCAGTTGTGTTTTACTTAATATTACACATTGCTTAAAAAATTGGAACAAAGAACTTCATTAACCCAAAAGAAAAATAATGAAACAAAAACAATATAGGTAGGTTTACTCTGTATTTGTGGAGAAAAGTGTATTCTGATATCTTTTTTACTGTATGTGATTTCCACTGTTTTTTTTTTTTCCAAGCAGAAAATGGCCAGTCTTCAGGTTGCTTTGGGAATCCACAATCTTTCTTGAGGCAAATTAGGCATCACATCTAATACAACTAAAACCCTTTGATCCTTTGTGTTCTTAGAAAGATGCCACTCTTCAGGGTGAAATGACTAAGGTTGTCCATTGTACCTATCCAATTGCTTATGCAGCTGTCCTTTCAGCTGCATAAGCAATTCCTTTGATAGGTGACTGGCTTTCTACAACACTAGCATTATTTCAGCAGGAGAAGGTAGCGTTTGATGTTTTGCAATGTGTGTAACACGTCCACAGAACGTCTCTGGACATTACCTCAGGAGGAGGGGTTCAGAGGAGGAGGAGCTGTGGCTGAAAACATTTAATGACAGAATGAATAGAAGTGCAAAGCTCCCTGTGCAGTCAGCCCTCCACACCCGTCTACATTCCCCTCTCCCCAGCTTTCTTTCACATTAATTTAAAAATATTATAACAAAATTCTTATCCAATACATGTAATTGCATTTAATTTTAGTCACAAAACCACATCTTCAAAATGACAAGGATGTTGGCAGCCTGCAAAGTGGTGAAGACCCTGAGGACTGGTTTTGGCCTTACCAATGTGACGACGCCACATCAGTGGAAATTTGCAAGACCCGGTATCAGGCTCCTGTCTGTAAAGGTAATATTCCCACATTCATTACTGCTGATGTCATTGTATGGGGAGTAGTTTAGTATGGCACAAATACAAATTTGAATGTAGTTCTGAAGTGCTATTTTATTAATATTTACTACAGAACCTACTGATTTATCCGATGCTTATTTTTATCTGCTCTGGGTGAAACTACAGCAATTTTCACCCAGTGTGAAAGAAGTGTCACAATTCCTGTGAACAGGTGAGATTTGAGCATTCTGTTCAGAAAGCAAATATCTTTAAAGGCTTTTAGGATTCTGTCTGGACCCAGATACTGCGCACAGTTTGGGTTCCAACACGGAGATGCTTCTGTGTTTACAAACCACATGACAGTGTGTGAAGCCACGCTCTGTTTTGGCTCCCTGTCAACTTTTCTCTTTTAAAATGTCACTTTTTCAGAAGCAATCGGAAAGAAAAATATCTCTGTAATTTTGAAATCTGCAAATCACAACATAGACATTGAGTTTTCCTTTCTCCTTTTAGCCCTTCTTTAGAAGGTCAACTTTGTGAGTTTTAGTTTGGAGATTAAAATGCTGAGACAATTAGCAGCTGAGAATTCTGTCCCTCCAAGTGCATCTATAACTGAGGAGCAGGTCCAGGAAGGGAACGTGAAGTGCCCTTCCTTTGTCCCCAACCCCTGAATTATGAAGTCCCAGTAAGAACTTCTGTTACTTTCTATAAATTTTTGAAGGCACTTATCACCAGAGAAGTCTGAAATTACTCCATAGGAACTTTGCCACTGAAGATTATCTTTTGTGAATATAAAACTTAAATAATCACAGTAGTTCTTTAGTAGAGTTATAAAAAGTAAAGTTGAAAAATAAACCCAAACAACCTCTATTTGTTATAAAATTAGGTTGTAATAGGTGTAAGTACTCTGCTCATACTTTATATACTCCCTGAGTTGACTAAAAATTCTTCAAATGCTTCTGCAGACTATTGCTTAGTGTGTTCCAGTCAGGATTCGGTGTTTTCAATCAAGTGGTTTGTGGGCTCAGCTATGACCATAGATTCTTACACCCTCCAGTAATAGTACTGGGAAAGGGATGGAAGTGACGGGAAAGGAAGAGATAGCCAGATGGACAGATGGAGAGAGGAGGTGAGGAGTGAGAAATGGGAGAGAGAGAGACAGAGACAGGGAAAAGGAACTCAAGATCTCATGATAAAATATAAAAAACTGGAATTTTAAACTAAGAAATCCACAAACAACCATGTTTTGGATTCAGTTTAATGTAATAAGAAAGCAGAAAGGAGATATGTCCTAAAGCATCTTCAAAGACACAGTGAGGAGCTATAAACTATGAGAGTATCTGGTTTCAGTTCAGGGTTATTGATACTGTATGTCAGAGGTACAGAAATATAGCTTTGAGGAGAATAAATGGTAATGAAAATAATATCACTTACAGTTAGATGTGTCTTCTAAGACTTCGAAGTTGTGTCCCTTAGAATATCTATCTTTCTCAGGAAAACAGGTAGGTAGGAACAGGTGCAGCTCCATCAAACATCAGACACAGAAATCAAGTGACTACTTAAAATGGCATAGATCTGAATGGGTGAGAGGCCCATCCCCCAAGGTCACAACAAGCATTCTGCCCAACCACAACTACAACTACCACCACAACCGCGACAAAACGGCTTAATTATGTGGATGGACTACTGTGAAAGTAGTTCTTCTAGCTCATGGTGGCAGATCTTTTTCAAGGGTCTGACAAAGTTCACAGCAAAGAATGACAAATTTGTAGGAGAAAACGGCTATCATTTCATAATATGAAAGCCATCACTACTCATGTTCAGTCATTTCTGCCAGAGTTTCAGAGGAAATACAAAGGTCTTCCACTTCACAACAGTGAATTAAAATTCTTTACAGCAGCCCAAGGGGAATTTGTTGTTATTTACTTATTTGGAAACAGTCTTCTAACTACTTTTCTTCCTGCCTTACTTGTAATACTCATCTCTTCTTAGGAAAGAATATCCAAATTTATTCTTTTTCAGTGAGCATCATATTTTAAAGATAGTTAAAATCATTGGATGCATCTGTATAAAGTTAGTGAAGGGCCATGAGGACAGTCACTACTGGTTAGTCACATTATGGCTAGTTAGAGACAGTAAGTGGATTGTGGGAGATATCGTGCTTTTAGGTCTATAAACACTGCTCTATAAACTGGCTGCCTTTTCAGTGTCTTTGGAGGTCATTCTTCCTCCCCCCTCAGTGACAGAAAGAGAAGGCTGATGACAGCAGTGACACACTTATACTTTTATGTGGCCCTCCCTTATAAAATCGTTTGTGGCTAATATTTATTTAGCATATCTTGCTAATAGACACAGTTGTATTTTGCTTATGGGAAAAGGAAAGAAGTTCAAGGTGCTCTACATTTGAAAGGAATTTGATATCAAGTGTACATAATCAACTGCCATAAAATATGAAGATTTTGGAGACCATAATCTCTTCCTATTTGTTTTGAAAATGTTCAGTATTCATTATTTTATTCAGCCAGTTGTAGCTGTGTAGTGGAGAGCTCACCAGACGGGAATAAAAAGATCTGGGTTCTAATCTCTCTTCTGCATTTGTTAATGCTCTGAGTTTGATCAAGTCATGTGTTCTCTCCAAACCTAAGTTTTGTCATCGGTAGTGGGGACATGATTCTTGCTTTACTCATAAGATTGTGTGACCATCACACATGATCAATACTTAAAAATCTATAAAATATTTTACAAGCAAAACTGGATACTTAAAGAAATAAATTCTGTTCTGTGCATTTAGTAGAGTGACAGTAGAAAGTTAGATAAGAATTTCTTCATGTTATTCATGGACTACATGTTATTACAACAAGATGTATGATAAAATCTCTCAACTATTTACAATGGTGGCCTTTTCAGCTTTGCCTTATATTAAGCCTATGTCTAGGAAGGTATTACTTATCATGAATTAGACAAAAAGACTATGAAGCAAATGATTTTGTTCCACTATGGTGAATTCAAATCCAAAAGTCAGGGTGTACAACTTAACATCCTAAGTCATTCATTCATTAATTTATTATTTAACAAGTAAATATGTAACTTTTATCTTGATAGTATACAGGGAAACTAAGTGGAAATAAATGGGTGACTAGTGGATAGTTTCTGATTTCAAGAAACTTATAAATTAAAATATTCTGAGTTCTCAAGTCTTGGAAAGTCACCAAGATTAAACAGTTTTATTTTTACTTGCAAATGAATTTGTAAATCAAAGGTGTTAAGTTCCCTCTGAATAGAAAAGGGTTCAATCAGTCAGCACTGCTTCTAACACCAATCCACTCATGGATAAAAATAGTGACTAGTGCTACAATTAAGTCAGGAACCTAACTGTCCAAGTATTCTTCTCTCTGGCACTTGAGATTCAAATGAGTACCAGGAATCATTATTCTCTTTGAGAGATTTTCATTTTGTAAGATATTATATTCTGATCCTAACAGAAGTATTTGTTTAACTCAGTTTTGAGGAGCTATTGTGCTTTGATTAGAATTGGCAAGTACAGACACTCCTACAATTAAAATCATTTAGTCATATTGTAGTAGCTTTAAAGACACTCAGAGGAAATAGATTTTATTGTTATATTGGAGCCCCTGTACATATTAGAGTTGGGGGTAGGGCTATGGTTATCACACACTTTCAAGAATAACTGTTGTGTTAGACTTAAACTACAGATAGGTTTTAGGGCAGGATTTCACCCATGATACTCCATACTATTGAAATAATAAATTATGTTCCAATCCCAAATGAACCGTGGCAGAATTAGTTGGAAAGGATTGACAACATTACATATTTTTGGTAGACAATATTGTTTCCCTTGGGAGGTAGCCTTTATTTTGACCATTTTTGTTTGGGTCCTGCGCATCTTATATTTCCTCTTTCTAAACTGGAGACTCGTTTGTTTGTCATCAGCAGTGCTTTGATACTTTGAGCTTCTTGCCATGAAATCCTTGAAAAAAAACATTGCAGAGCAGAGCTTAGACCAGGGCGGGGTGAGTGAGATACCTAAGGTGCAACATCGAAAGAGCCTCTGGCTGCCTTCCTTCTGTTTTGCACTCCAGGGACCTCACTCACCTCTCCCTAGTCCTAGCCCTGCATTACAAGCTAAGAATTCAGGTGGGGGAGATGCCAAAAGAACTGGCACTTGTCTTGGCTTCAGGTTTCCTTTCTTGCCAGTGATGGCTAAAGTTTCTGCTGAACTATGCTTAGCTAGACTTACCGCTGCTTTAAAAAGGCTAATTTAGATCTCACTGCTGTACGAGCAGAGAACATTCTTCTGCCCTCACATCTTTATTAGACTTTCTTAATGTTTCGGACTTGTAGTAAAGGTTGGGGGTATAGTAGAGGGTTTCTAATATCTCTTAAGCAATGGCCATACCAGAGGTCATGGCAGGGCTTCCAGAGTTCCCTGCACCAGACTGAAAGTGCTTGATGTGACCAGGAGTTCTTAGGGCTTCTACACTGATTGCGGATGGAAGAACCTGCAGGGGCTAGGGTCACACTCGCTGTTGGAGACTCCTCAGCCCTAGTGAGCTCAACTTGCACTTGATTTTCATCTGATTGAATGGGCTCGACTCATGGAAGTATTTTCAAGGCCCCTTTCTCCTTTTCCAACCCCCTCCCAGCTTAATAAATGCCTTTTAATAATTTTTAAAATTTCGTAGGGAGATTATTGGTTAATATGAAGTTTTTACAAAGCAGTCAGCAAGTTTGCTGTATCATTAAGAATTTTACTGAACAAGTTTTTTCTATGGTATAGAATTAAATATAAGACCATTTTACTTTATTGTCATAAGGTAAAAATCACCTGGCAATGCTGGGGATGCCTCTCAAAGTCATGACACTGTACATAGCTGGTACCCTTATGCACTTGTTAATAAACCTATAATTTATGAACATATTTTAAATGGAATTTTTCTAAATTCTTTATTTATAATGAGAAACATAGCTAGAATAAAAATTACTTATAAATTTGACTCATTTGTTTATAAATGCCCAGAACATAGAAGTATTGAAGGAAATTAACCTTGTGATTTTTTTCCCCAATACTGGCTTACGTTTAACCAAAGGCAGATGACTGAATATTAACTTAGGATGTTGTAAGGCTTAATTGATTACTGCGGTTACGGTACATTGAAATCCTGAAATGTTGACATTATAACTGCAGTAAAGTCTCATTAAATATTCTATACATAGCAAATTGTGCTGTAATTCTGAATTGTAAATATCCATATTTTGATAGTATAACTTCAAGAAAATAAAGTTTTCATCTACCAAAAAAGAGCATTCCAAGATTTTAATTTTTTACCATATTACCTATGCAATAATAAACAGAAAAAATTCTGGCTTTAAGCTTCTTGCCAAAACTTATATCAGACTTATTTTATTTCTTAAGAGAATGAGTACTGACATGAACTAATAGCTAAGAATTATCAGGTAAGCCAGAAGTCAAGTATATTATATAGCTTCAAGCCTTGGTGAAAATGGAAATGAACATATGGAGGCTTCTACTTTTTCTGATATGCAAATAATTTACATACCCAAATGGTTTAATAGTAGTACAGTCAGATCCTCAGAGTAAATCATCTTTATTTGCACTCTAGCTTAAATGGACTATTGTAGGCATAACGGTTTAAATTCAAATCATTTGTGAAACTTATTGCTCAATTAGTTTGAGGCTTTACATCCACCCCGGAACATTTACCAGTGAACTCTCACACCCCCAGGAATCAAAAGTGCTCTTCTTCCCATTTCAGAGATGTGTAAGGACTCTGGTTCATACAAGGACGTGATGCCTCTTTTTGTACAAATATACATGCAACAAGTCTTGTTAGAATTATAATTAGGCCTCCAATACCACTTAATTTGGCTTTTTTGTTACTGTGCTTATATATCTGAAGCCATGGTTATGTAGCCTGGCTTCAGAATGTTCTGAATCATTTCTCCTCTTATAATTTTATTGCTTACTCGAGAGCCCCTTTATATACTGTACTTTATTTTCATATAAAATAAATTGCATTTTTCCTTACCCTTTTTTGGTTGTATTTTGAGAACAGAGTGTTTAAATGAAATAATCAATATGGATTCTTATTTTATATGGCCATTAATAATTCTTTAAATAGGATATTTTAAGGCAATGTTGTTTATAGAGTTGACATATTTCTTCCCCTTTGACCAAAATATTGACATGTGTTTGTAACCAAACATGCTGTTTTTCAGTTTTCAAATTGTTTCTTTATAATAGAGACTTGTAAATTCCACATACACAAAAGTCTAACATAATAGGTATTAAACTGCCTTGAACTAAAGGATCCAATGAAAACTGGTTCAAGATGAAACGTGAGGATCCTTAAAGCTAGCTCAGCATGATGCAGGGCTGTGGACCAACAAATGAACAAGCGGATGATTTTTAATAACATAATACTGAAGGTAAAGGAAAAGCTTCACAACAATAATAAATGCCAGGCTATTTCAGAAACTTTCATAGGTTAAGTGATAAAGTTTGCTTGAATTTTGACTGCTACTTCCTATGACCTACCCTGCTGAATCAGTTGAGCAAGCACCATGGACACACGTTCACAGGTTTTTGAAAGGGGCTTTGGCTGTGTGACTCACATTCATTGCATTGTTCTTTGTTTTCTTAAATAAATTTTTTTATTGTTGTTCAATTATAGTTGTCCCCATTTTCCCCCATTGTTCTCCCCTGCCCACCCCAACCCCACCCTCCCATTTTTTCCACTTTTGGTCCCCCCCCCACCAGCTGTTGTCTTTGTCCATGGGTCCTTTATACATGTTCCCTGACTTGACCCTTTAAGTTGACTTCTGGAGCTGGATTTTGAGCATGTATTTAAGAAGCTGGGCAGTATTTCACAGATGGTGATTGTTCTTATTCTGGAAAACACTTTGAAACATCCACCCTTTTAAATTTGATCTGAAACTGAGAGTATTAGTATATAAAATTCTGGTCATTTATTTGTGGTCCCATAAAGCTAATCAATTATCTTACTGAGAAATGAAAATGGACCCATAAATGTAGGTTTACAGTGAATTTTACTTTTAAGAAAAAAATGAAAAGCCCTAAAATTATGAATGATTAGGGAAAATATCAGATCTGCTGGCAATATCATGTTTTGACAACATCATTAA